TGATCTGCACTGGTTGCCTGTGAAATTTCGTATTCAATTTAAAATTCTGTTGTTTACTTTTAAAATTACTAATAACACAGGGCCAAGTTATCTTAAGGAACTCTTAAATTCATATCTTCCTACGAGGGCCTTAAGATCTTCCTCACAGTCATTGTTGGTTCAGCCCAGATCTCGCTTGAAGTCTAGAGGTGATCGAGCGTTCGCTCTAGCTGCACCTGAGCTGTGGAACAGTCTCCCGATTGGCATCCGGGCGTCTGATTCTATTCAATCTTTTAAATCACGGCTTAAAACATATCTGTTTGAACTTGCTTTTTCTACTAGTTAAATTCTCGCCTTGCTTCTAGTGAGTTGTTCTATTACTGTGTCTGGTTGTTTTGCGTTGTCCTGCGCTGTCAATGTTTTCTATCACTGTGTTTGATGGTACAGCTTTACAGCTTTTCTCTGCTATAGCTGTGTGCTTTAGTTTATTCTTATTAGTGGTTTTTACCTGTGAACATAATCTCACACTTTTATGACTCTGACGTTATAGTGCTAATTATTTTATTATTTTATTGTTGCGTTGCCTATGTCCTCTATCACTGTGTATGATGGTACAGTTCTACTTTGCTACAGCTGTGTGCTATAGACTGTTCCTATTAGTGGTTTTTTACCTGTGAACATAATCCCACACCTATATGATTCTGATGTTTTAGTGTAAATCATTTTATTGTTTTATTGTTTCATGTAAAGCACTTTGGCATGCCCCTGGCTTTTAATGTGCTCTATAAATAAAGATTGTTGTTGTTGTTGTTGTGTAACATTCCAACATTATCTGATGTTTGTCAAACCTTTACAACAATGCCTTTGTTTCTCCCTGTTGAGCTAAGACCTCTAACAAAATTATGCCATCTAGAAGTTGGTCAAATGTGAAAAGTAGGAGTGGAGCTGAACCCGAATACGATATTCGGAAAGGCACAAATAGCGTGTTTTTTTGTTTTTGTTTTTTTTTTACAAATTCTTATTTCAAAAAATACTTTAAAAAATATTTGTATTTGCAAGCGCGAGCCACTTCACAAGCGGATGGCACAACATAGAAGAGCCACCTCCACGGGACAAGACTCAGCAGTCCATCTGCATCTAAAGGTCAAAGGTCACTCTTTCGAGGATGCCAACGTTGGGTGCAGGTTTCACAATGAGCTCACCTGAAACTCTGGCTGATTGGGACCCACACCCAGTTTGACACCTTGGCTCAGGCGATTAGAGGATCATCAGGGGGTCCTTTTGTCCCTCTGTGGGGGGAAACTCCCACTGGGTTTAAATCTGCTCCCTTCTCTTGTTTGCCAAAATCCCCACATCTGGGCTGAACTAATTTAGCCCAAAGGTCAGCTAATCAAAGGGGTGTGACCTCACGCCTGCCACTCAGCAGTCTATGAAGATGAATGGTAGATGATCCTGTGGAGCTTGGGCTGTGAAAAATAAGCCCATGTAAATCTTGTATTTTTCTTGTTTTTTCTCTTTGGATTAGTTGGCGTTGTTGTTGCACTTGGTCACATTACCATGTAAGAATCTGTTCTAAGATGACTTTAAATGTATACATACAGTATAAATATATATATTTATTTTTTATTAAAAAGGATAGGGAGGGCTCAGCCCTGTCAGTCCATTCATACCAGCCGTCCCTGATAGACACACCAGGGATCCTAAATGCTGGCAAATCCACAGAACTTGTAAAAAAAGAAATGATCACATATATTGAACTCTCTACCTCTCTACCGGGTCCTCATCTTTTTACATTTATTCTTCAAGTTGGTTGATTCACACCAAAGAAGAAAAACTCTGTGGAAGCCCTGCAGGATCTGCTTGATAAAAAAACCAATTACCACTACATTATTGTACTGTTCACCTATGGTGATGAACTTGAAGACTTGGACATAACTATACAGCAGTATTTACTTGAAGCCAAACCAGAGCTCCGACAAGTCATCCAAAGCTGTGGAAACAGGTTCCACGTCTTCAACAACCGAAGCACAGACACAAAGCAGGTGGAGGACCTGATCACGAAGATTGACGACATGGTGGCACATACTACACAATTGCCATGTATAGAGAGGTGGGGGGGAAGAGAGAAATTGGGTGGCATGGTTAAAGAATACAGGTTTATAAGTGAACTATTAGAGAATATTCTGCGTTTTAATTTCCTTCTTAAACAACAAGACAGTGTAAACAAATAGAAATGTGTAAATTACTTTTGCCTCAACTAGCACAGACTTATTTTTCTCCCAGTGAAAATAAAATAAAATGAATTATGCCAAGGATCTCATCAAGAATAACAAATTTTAAGGATAATTGTGTGCTTTAAGTGTGATGTGCTACTGATAAGTTACTTTTCAGGTATCAGGTGAGTATGGTTAGTTTTTTTTTAAATAGCAGATCTATGTTTAACCATAGTGGCTGAATACGCTTGAACTCAGATTTATGCCATTTAAATGTCATTTAGCAATAAAACTTGAAGTAATGCTTAGTTTTGTTGTACAAAGCCAGGAAAAAAACAGATGTTGTGCTTGTTATTAAAAACAATTTTGAAACAATTTTATTTTTAAGGTTTATTCTTTTTTTCTAAGAAGTTAGCTCAGAAGCTTAAGATAAGTGATCTCAAAGTACTTTACAAAGTAAAATAAAAACGTTTTGAGAGAAAATTCTATAATTAACATTCACAGAAATAATTAAATATGCATCTGGATGTGACTAAACCTTATAAATTTGTCTTGTGTCCTGAGAAGTCCTAAATCAACCAAGAAGGAAATTTCGCTTCTTGGTAGGAGCAGTCTGTGCAAAGTTTAGAGGGCAAATTATTTGATTATTCAACAATTTCTTTATATAGAGCCACTTCATTACAAATGTACTATGTACAATACAACCAGTTGCTAAGGTACATTTTTAGAACATTTAAACTCTTTTCACAAATGAGAAAACTCAGTTTTTAAGTTTATAAGTTCCCAAACCTTCTTTCTTCCACCCTCACTATACATTTGGATGCAGGAGGTCTGTCCAGCGTCTTCCCCACCACCTGATCCAACTCACCACCAGGTGGTGAACAGTTAACAGCTCAGCCCCTCTCTTTACCTGAGTGTCCACAACATACTGCTGCAGGTCTTGTGATACAATTACAACATCGATCATCAACCTGCGACCTAGGGTGTCCTGGTACCACCTGCACTTATGGACACTCTTATATTTGAACATTGTGTTCGTTATGGCCAAATTGTGATTTGCATCACTTTGTAAATATGAAGACTGGAGAGGGGGTTCTGGTGGTGGTGTGTGTGTCTGTCTGTGGGGGGCGTTATTGTAATGTACTGTTTGAGCTGTCTGTGGATCAAAGAACCCTTTAAATACTAGCTGGAGCCAGCTTCAGCGAGCGTAAAGAACACAATAACAGGACTGTCATTGTGTTCTCTGTTTCCACAGAATACAACCACAGTTCTGTGGAAAATGCTCTGTTGACTAAGACATTTCCACAGAACTCCTCGTGGCCTCGTTCCAAACATTTCTTTTGAACAGAAATTGACCATAAAAAAACACCATAAATATTTGTGGTTCATTATGAGGGCACACAATGAAAACATATCCAGAGAAAACCCAAAGGTGTGACAGGTATTTCCACTTTACTAAGTGCAATAATCCTTTCTGTCATCGTTGTATTTTTACTCAGTTGTATATAGTATTTGTATTTGTATTCTATTTTTATCTTATTGTATATTTATTTTATTTTATTCTACTGTATATAGTATTTTATTTTATTTTATTCTATTCTGTACAGTTGTGTACTGTATTTATTCTTATTGTATTCTAATTTTTGCCTCATAAATTTTGCACTGTCCACTTCCTGCTGTGACAAAACAAATTTCCCACGTGTGGGACTAATAAAGGTTATCTTATCTTATCTTACCTTTACAGTCCAACATTATGTGATGTTTGTCAAACCTTTACAACAATGCCTTTGTTTCTCCCTGTTGAGCTAAGACCTCTAACAAAATTATGCCATCTAGAAGTTGGTCAAATGTGAAAAGTAGGGGTGGAGCTGAACCCGAATACGGTATTCAGAGAGGCACAAATAGCGTGTTTTTTTACAAATACTTATTTCAAAAAAATACTTTAAAAAATATTTGTATGTACAAGCGCGATCCACTTCACAAGCACATGGCATAACATAGAAGATCCACCTCCACGGGACAAGACTCAGCAGTCCATCTGCATCTAAAGGACCACGGTCACTCTTTGAGGATGCCAATGTTTACATTTCAGTTCCCTCCCCAGACACCTCAACGCCCACTCAAATCCTGGGCCATCTGACCTCAGGAAACCACATGATAGGTTGGGTGCAGGTTTCACAATGAGCTGAGGGTCCTCAGGAAGTACAAGCTGAACTCCAACCTGCTGCTGACCTTCTACCGCTTGTCCATTGAGAGCCTGCTAACCTACTGCATCACAGTATGGTACGGCAGCTGCACAAAGGTGGATAGAGCAAGGCTTCAGAGTGTAGTCATGACAGCACAAAAGATTACTGGCTGCCCTCTCACCTTGCTTGATGGACATGTATTTCTTCCACTGCCTCAGCAGAGCAGCAAACATCATCAAGGACACCTCACAGCCTGGTTTTAACATGTTACCATATTCCCTATTTAGTTACTTCCAAAAGAAGTAACTATGCTGTGTGCCCTGCCCCAAAACAACCAAACAAAAAAACAACAAACCAGACAAACTGATGAAGAAATTCACTGATCCAACAGGACAGAATCATTGTGGCAAGGTCCAAACACCAAAGAGAAATAAGGCACACTGAACTTTGTTTTATTGTAAATCTTTCACACCAATTAAAATTCAGTACAGTAAAAATCTTGCATCAATTACACACACATTACAAATTCAAAGTTAATACTAATAACTAACGAATCTCACACACAGACACACTTTTATAAAGATCCATACTATTTTACTCAAAAAATATCCAAGCCTCTTATTTAATCTATCTTTGCTGTTTTCTTTAACACCGTGCTCACTGTGTTCATTAGCTTTTCCACCTGGTCTGAACTTGAGCTGCGGTTCTCAAAAAGAACACACCTGTTGTTGCACTTTTCAATGATTTCCTTCAGACCAGGTTGGCAGGAATGAAGAAAATCCTCCAGGGTCATGTCTGCCTCCTCCAGGTCGTCTCCTCGGGTGAACAGGATGACAGTTTGTTCTTTCACTTTGGTCCCAAAAGTGTTTTCTAACTTTTTCAGTATGTCTCTCTCACCATCTGTAAATCTGCTCACATGCATCACAAGTACAAACACACAGAGTTCTGACTCATAGAGCTCTTTGCACCTTTTTACATGTTTGTCCCGAACTGATGGTTCAGTTTCATCATCAAACATGTCTGGCGTATCAATCACACGCACATGTAAATCATTTATCTCAGTTTCTTCCGCCTGACACTCTGTGGTGACTGGATTTGAACTGGGTTTAGAAACAAAGTGCTTCCTTCCAAGGATGGTGTTTCCACTGGCACTCTTTCCAGTCCCAGCCAATCCCAGAAGAACGAGGTTCACTGTGGTGCTGGTGAGCTTTGCTGAAGTAAAGAACAAGCTGAAGTTGAGTTAAATATAAAATAAGTCGTTTCTTTAAATCAAATCAGCTACTTTTTCAGAGTGTCTGTGGGTCACAAAAAGTTTTAAAATGCCTTAAATAAATATTTCATGATAATAGGGCCCTAAAACAGGATGAAATTATGTCCAAAGTTTGGGTGTGTTTGTATTCTTACTCATGCAACAATGCCATCACCATGTTTGAGTGATAAATATTAAAATCAAACAATGCAAATGCATCCTTAAGACAATAACTTTATTGAACTAACCCTTCATTTTCATATGTTTCAAAACAGTTAACTATCACAAAAGGCTGAGAAGTTTGTTCACTGACATTTCATTTCCTGTTAAAGTCAACTTTTCTTGCTAGGTGCTAGGTGTAGGTAGCTTTCTACCTAGCATCTTCCCACAGCCTTCTCTGTAATCAAAAAGCTGAACAACAGTTGAAATACACTGATGGACCATCTAAAGATGATAATAAAGAGAAGTCCTTGCCAGACAGCCTTCTAGATGGTCTATAAAAACAGGAAGACGCAAGATTAATCTCACATCTTTACGAAAACCTAAAACTGGCAGTCAAGCTAGGATGAAGTTTTGGTATATCAGTGGTTAGAAATTGCTGTGAGTCACAGTGCGCAGCGTAAAGGTCCTTTCACAGCAGACCCAGCATGTGCTGCTAATGCTAACTAAGAGCCAAGGATCCAGAATTTGTTGCGCTGGCTGCTGAGCTCTGTGGGTTTTTGCAGTAGCTCTATGTGAACTAGCTCCTAGCTACTTGTCGTTTGTATCGCTGACTCTATATCCTCTACAAGAGTTTGTGTTGTTTTATCTTCAAATGTTCAATAAAAACATGTATGGCGTAACGAAGAAAGCTTTGTAACTATCCCCAGTAGTGAAATGTGTGTCATTTCCACAACACTGCTTTTCCCAGAAGGTCCACAGAGCCGTTGAAAAGGCTCTGGAGGTCCCTGTATAAGCACGTAAACTCGGACACGCACAGACTGTTTTCCTTCGTGGTGATGAAGGAAAACGCTGGGCTGGCACATGAAAGGGAATTTATTCTTCCAGGAGCTGAAGCTCCGTAAAGCACCCCTCCAACAGCCAAACCCATCTGTTCTCTAGTTGAATTGTTAAAATTTGTGATTGACATGATATTGATCAATCAGCTAAATGGAAGAAAAAATAGGTCAAAATTTGTATGTGTAAGTTGAAAGCCACATGCAGCCAGGGAACAGGTTCTACACATAGTTTTTTGCTTTGTATCTGTAACCAGACCTTAACAAAAAATGTGTAACTCGTGTAAATATTTTTTACAAACACAAATATGTTTTACAGACACGCAAATTCTCATCTGTAGATGCACAAACATAAAACTTTCACACATTTTGGTTTAAAAGGTTACAAAACTCAAATACGCATTTGATTTACAAGTACAAAATATTAATGACCACAATTTGAGCCCATACTACAGCTTCCTCTTAAAGACATGCATGTTAGGTTAGGTGATTCCAAGCTGTTTCGTTATGTAATTTGCAGTCTGAAGTATTTGCTGCCTGAACAAAAAGGTCAAATAGAAGCTTCCTTTATAAATAACATTACATAAGTAACATTAATTGTTTTTTTAAAAACCTTTGGAACACACACACACACACACACACACACACACACACACACACACACACACACACACACGTCACACAGTGGAAAATTGTGTTTTTATATTTTGTTTTGGATCAGACTGTGTTGGTACAGGGTGTCGATTTTATTTGCATGATTTTATTGTAATAGTGATATTGCATGTTTGTTTATTGATATTCCTATTGCATGATTTTATCTCCATATTTATAGTGTTGATTGAACAATATGTTTTTTTATTATTCCACTGTGGATTAAGCGGACAATTGTAGGCACCTGTGAGGTGGGGGCGTTCCCCGAGGTGGCCTATCAGCCACCAAACTGACTTAAGGGAGATAGTGAGCGCAAAGACAAAAAAGAGAGAGACACACGAAAAGTGGAGAGCTGGAAAACAAAACGTGTGCAAGCCAGCATATGAGAAGAAGGACCTCTGGCCTGACTGTGGGGTGCCACGAGACATTCGGCGATCGGCCAGCACAACCCGGCGATCCAGTCCCGACGGACAGAATAGCGACCGTGGGAGGCGACGCGTGAAATCCACAGTAGGGCAGGGGTACGCCTCTGCCTGCATCTGGCGGAGCTACGAGGGAGGCCGTGCGCGGAGGTGGAGAGTAGCTGGACTGCACGATTGCGCACAGTCAGGTGGAGATAGGAGCCTCCTCCCTGGTCTTCTGCTGTCGAGAGTCCACATCCCGGAAGAGGAGTTCCTCTCCTGTCTCTCTCAGCTCAGGAGAATTTGCCCGTGTGTTGCTGGACTGGGAGAATTAGGACCCTGGGGGGAGTTTTTAGTATAGGGAAAAACATTCATTTAGCTTTGTGTTTTTAGCGTTTAATCATTCCTGCCGGCAGGGTTTTTAGCAGGTTGTAAACACTATTTTTATTGTATACGGGGATTTTAGCTTGTATTTGGGGTTCTGACTGTGTTTTATCCTGAAAATAAATGGTGTGTTTGAAGCCAGCTAAATTTCTGTGCTCTGAGCGCTGACCCACTCACTCCCCTTTCTGCTTGTATAGGCGTGGTGGTGAAGATTTAGTTCCACCAGTTTAGCGGCTACACACACACACACACACACACACACACACACACACACACACACACACACACACACACACACACAAAGAGCAAGCGAGTGTGGTTTATCTTTCTTTTTACTTCCATCTTGTGGTTCAGCAGTGTCAGCAGGCCTAAGATGTAGAAGTTAAACCACATTAACTGGTTTAACCGACCAGGAAGCAAAGAGAGCTTCCTGGTCGGTTGAACACCATGTTGAACAATTGTAATTGAAAAAGTACTGTCAAACAATTATATATAAATATTTGACACCCATTCATTTGTCTCTACCTTTTCTTTCTGTTGGTTGGCATCAGTTGTTTATCTTTAAGTAGTTTGCTCAGTTTGCTGAAAACCTGTTCGAGGGTGTAGAATTTGAATGGATATTCTGTAAATTTGTGTCTCAGCGGAAGCACAACTGTGAACTCTTCTCTTGGTTTTCCAGTCTTCTTATTGAGGTCTTTTATCTGCTTTTGCACATTTCCTGTTGAAAATCCATCCTCTACCACCAACAAACACAGGTCAAAGTTTGAATTTGTAGAAAATAGCTCTCTAATATCATCACATGTTGTGCTCAGATCTGGTGTACATGTAAACTCAAATGTATCATCGTCATACATCTCAGTGTTTTCAGAATCTTTCTTTTGGTTAAAACAGATAAATCTTTCCCCAGGATGTTGGTTATCAGAGCTTTCTTCAAAGACTTCACATTGCCCAGAATCATGACTGAAATCTTATCTGTGAAAATAGTTAAAAACAACATTACTATATCTGATACAGTACATACAATTAAAACATAGTTGTTGTGTGAACTTACTGTGAGACATTATCCTTGGCTCAAAGTCCTCTGTGGTGACTAAAGGTTGTGCTTGTCGCTGCCTGGATTATGTGGACCTGTTGTGCAACATTAGGGGTGTGTCAAGTGTGACACCATTATCAGTGTTGTAGAGGTTACTTTAAAATATTTTCCACTACAGATTACAGAATACATGCCCCAAAATGTATTTTGTAACATATTTTCGTTACAAAATTCTCAAGTTACTCAATGAGAGTAATGTATTCTGAGTACTTATATCATGCTTTTTACAACCACATGAATGTACTATTGCTGTGTGATTCATTACTATTACTGAAGGTTATTAGCCATACCAATACCAACTAGATTTTTCAATCTTAATATAAAATGAGTAACAGTAGGGTAGACATTAGGTAAGGCTGCACTTTTTTCAGCGATCTCATATAGAAAACTATTCTGCGGATACAGTGTAGGGCAGGGGTAGGCAACCTTTTTGATGACGAGTGCTATCTAAAATTTCCTCAGAAGTCAATGTGCCATATAATTGCATTAGCAATAAATGTAATAACGCTCTATATTACTGAAGCATTTGAAATGTCAGAACGTGGAAATTTCAACATCGCTTGTAAAAACTGACAGCTAGCAACGTCCCTCTCACCAGTAGGCTAAGTGATTTTTAGCCAATTACAAGGTGAATCTGGTAGTTGGGGTTGTTAGCTTAGACACCGTCATTAAGAAGCGGTGCAACTAATGTTTCTATGTGAGCTAATTTGCGATGTGCACCGCTGGCCCGGCCATTTATTTTTTAATGCACCCTCTCAGATTAATTCACTGCATGTCGTGCCCAGGGCTGAACTGGGACAAAAAAATCGGCCCGGGCATTTTGATTAGAGACTGGCCCACCAGGTATTACAGGAAAAGCCATAAAGCCTTTGAATGAAAACAAATGCTGCTGTGACAGTGATGTACACTGTCTTGTTGGTGTGTATATGTATGATTTCTAAACATTTATGTCAGATAAAAACTTTGGTTGTAAGATTTGGAGAGTATTTGTTAAAAGCAAGACTTTTTAAATGAGAATAAGAAAGAAAAGTACTTCTTTGTGCCCCCCTTTCCCTGTTAATGCCCTACCTGGCCCCCCTGGCAAAACTTTCCTAGATCCACCCCTGCACAGTTACCAGCTGTCAGCTACATAAAAAAGGATCCTGGTGTTATTTGTCTCTCAGAAACAGTTGATAACTTCCCTTCAACTCATTCATGTCACCTAAAAGGTAAACCTGTTTCTCCATCACCTGTTCAGCTCTGATGGTTCAGTAAGGACATCTCCTGGTTTCATCTTCATGTTTCCCTCTCACCACATATCCAAACCAACATCATGACCAGCAGCTTTACAGCTGTGGCTCCAGCAAACATCAGCTGATGCTAGAAATTAATATTAAATAAATTCTAATAACAGCTGATCAAGCTTAAACGTGCTGCTGTTGTTTAGCGCGACATCCGCTGGTTTCCTCTTTCTGGCGCAAAGTGGAGATAAATAAACAAGAGAGAAAAGCCGATCAGCTGATCATTGATCAGTTTCATGATTGATTGAGAGAAGAAGAGGCAGCTGACAGCGTAAAGATGCAGAATAACTCCAGCTTTGTGTCTTTTTTCATCTTAGCTGAAGTACGGGACAATCTGTGTTCCTTTTCGGCTCAATACGAAACGCGTGATATTTTCTCTGAATACGGGACTATTTCGTTTTTTAAGGGACGGTTGACAACTCTACTAACTAACCTTATGAATAAAATAAAG